AAATTAATGAATTTGAATTTAATGAATTTGATTCAAATCATAATATTAGTTAAGTAAACTTTATACAATATATATTTTATTATTTATATATTATATTACTAATTTTTATATTTTTAGTACTTACATATGCATGAATTTTTACAAATATTTCAACTGCAACTTCTTATCAGCGTATGTTCAAAGCTGTAATTGAAACTGTTAATGAGCTTTGTAAACAAAAGATTCAAATTAAACATATCCATAATAATAGTGGGGTGTTATTCTTGGTGACCTAGACATTGCACAAGCGAAAGGTCTTGCTCTAATGCTTGTAGATTTAGATCTAACTAAAGACTGGGAAACTCATTTAAAATATATTTTTAAATCTTGTCATATTCACTATAAAAGGAAAGTATATTTAAAATTTTAAAAATTTTAGATATTATAGTCAAACCTCTCTAAGTGCACGCCCTTAGAACCACACTTTAATAACATGTATATAGAGACCAATAAGAAAAAGTGCATGTATAGAGGTCAAGTATATATTTGGGCCAGCACTTGAGCATGTATTTAGAGAGTGCGCACTTACAGAGAGTGCACTTAGAGAGGTCTAACTGCATTACTAATAATATAATTAATATAATTTCTTTTTTTTTTATAGAAATATTTTAAAGTCAAAACTTTCTAATAATTTAAAAAATTTAATGTATGAGCTATTGACAGCTAATAAGGATCGTGTAGTTGATATATTTCAAGAATTTGCTACGTCATATGAAGATGGAGCATTAGGTATAAGTTTTATTATATATTCTAATAAATAAATATCATGGTACAAATTATAGTTACTTGAGTTTTTTAAAAAATATAGAATGGGAAATTATTATATGAAACCATGGAGATTAGCATCTTTAAATTATAATTATTCAAATATTGCTGAAGAAGATTGGCATAGTGCAGGAGAAAATACAAATGCTGCTGAGTCAGCACATGCCGATGCTAATCGAGAAGGAACTCAAATGAGTTTATTGCTTGCAATTAGAAAGTTTGTATTTAATTCTTATTTTATTTTATATACAGTTAGAACTCTCCAAATGCATGCCTTTGGGATCACACTTTAATAACGTGCATATAGAGAATAATAAGAAAAAGTGCATTTATAGAGATCAAGTATATATTTGGGCCAGCACTTGAGCGTGTGTGCACTTATAGGAAGTGCACTTAGAGAGGTCTGACTGTGTTAAAATTAAAGGTTCTATCTGTAAATCATTTATCTATTTATCTATCAGATATCTAATATCTAACAGATAATTGGTTAAAAGAATTAATAAATGGTTACAGCATAATTCCCCGAAAGTTATTTCCCTAACTAGACATCACACAGGGTAACAACTTGCTAAAAATAAATACCCACAACTAATAGAATGCTAACTCTAAACCTATGTGATGTTGAGTAAGTGACCTGTCGAGGAGTGTCTTTCAGAGAATTGAGCGACAACCTTAATAAATGAATAACTGAATTATTTTTTGGTTATTCAGATTATAAATACACTTTTCTTATTGTTTCTAAGTACATATTGTTAAGGTTTAATTTTCGAGGATGTACGCTTATAAAGGTTTTACTATATATATATATAAATATATATATTAACCATATATTTAGATATAATAATAAATAATATTCTATAAATGCTCTTAATAAACA